AGTTATTTAAAAATGTAGCCTCCTTTACTGCTTCACATGTCGCAATATACTCCGACTCACATGTCGAGTCTACCATCGTATTTTGTTTGGAACTTTTCCATGTAACAACTCCTCCATTCAGAAAAAACACCCAACATGACTGTGAGCACGGGTTGTCCTTGTCAGTCTGGAAACTTGCATCTGAATATCTTATAACTCTCAACTCTTCTCTGCCATCATGTACCAAGAACATATCGTTAGTTCTTTTCATATACTTAAGGATATTCTTTATGGGCGTCCAATGACTAACATCATGATTTTCTTGATACCGAATCATGATGCTTAGAGCATATGAGATATCAGGTCTGGTACATGTCATGGTGCAGAAAACCGAACACCAATCATTGTTCCAAGCGAATACTCATCTTGGGTAGATTGCATCAAGTACTACTAGGAAGGTCATGACAGTGATATTTGGACTTACATTTCCATTAGGAAACATAATTTAAATTTTCTCAAAATCATTACGATTCCTGAAGTCGATGTTTTCCATTCAACTACCAGAAGAATTGTTGTTGGCATCGGTACAACTTCTTTATCTCATGATCGAAGAGTTAAGAAACTAGAATCTAAGGTGATGCCCTTTGACCATGCTGTCTAAATGTCACTTTAGCTTATCTAAATGTGCTCCCCACACATCCAGACTCGCATTATAGTTAAAGTTGAACCCAACTTGGCTCGAGTCGATCCTTATTATTCTAAATTTTATGATGACAATAAAATCACCAACATATTATTCACAAGTGCTTATGGATACACACTAGGGTAGCAGGAAACTTTCATGGCTTTTCAAAAGGGTATCAATACCTTATAAAACCAATGAGTCTTGCAACAGAAAAACATACCAAATACAACATTTTCTTAATATGGGTTAATACCACTAGGTCCAATGTTTTGCAAACTATGAGGGCAAAAAAAACTTATAGATGGAGTGTACTCTTTTGACATGAAGCAAAATGTTATAGCTTGTGTTATTTTTAATCATTATATTTGAATCCCATATACAACGTACCCTAATAACATTTGGATCAACAAAAAAAACTATCGCTAAGTTTTTAATGGCGGACACTTGAAGGCCTATAAAGGTTCATTATTTTCACTTTCAATCTATGTATGGTGACTTGTTACCACTTTCTAAAACAAGTTCTATTATCAGTAAATTGGTAGATGAAAACCATAAAGAAGTTATCATATTTTTTAACTATATCACATAATGTATCCAACTTTTTCATACACGAGAAAAGACATGGCATCATATCACGAATAACATTTGGCTTACGATCCTAAAATCATGACCTTTAATAGTGGACCATGAAACCAATGTGTTGTTAATCTCACAAAAAATGGTTAGCCATTCACATATTTTGTTCAATTTTCACAACCCTTACCACTTCTTTTTAATAAGTCTAGTATGAGGTCGTGATGTTTATAACAGAGAGATACATTACAAGGAGACCTAAACAATCACATATAGACAATCCTAATGTTGGATAAACTTTTACGGGCTTTTAGCATACTTTCCTTCTCTTTGTATTTGATAAGAAAACATGGTTCATTTCTCTATTTTTAAGGACATTGTGCAATTATGGTGAAATTGGTCTACTTTCGCATTTGTGGTTTGTTTTGAAGGACATGGAGATCATTGGATAATCTTGGTAGCATATGAGGAAGCATTGGGACCATCTTAAGAAGTTTAAAGTGCGAAACAAAAAAAGTTACAAAACACAAAATGAGGATTTAACAAGCTTTTACACAGTCATGTGGGTAAGTAGGTTTACCAAAAAAAAAAATACACGGTTATGTAGAAGTAAGGACATAAAAGATTCAAAAAAGCTTTAAATTTACGCAACCATAAATCCAAAGCAAAAAAAATCCATATGGTCGTGTGTTCGATTTGTATGTGTTAAATTTGTAGTTTAACTGACTGTTTGTTTTGTAATCAGTTATTAGTCAACATGATTGGCTAAAATCTCAAAAATTCGACTTTGAGTTCTTAAGGGGCGTTTTGTTCGTGGAATTCTTTTAGAGAGAATGGAAATTATCAAAGGAATTGGAATATCAAGGAATATAAATTTCCAAGAATTTGAATTTGTTATGTGTTTGGTTGACGTGGAATCTATTTTTTGTTTGGTTTGTAGATTTTTCAAATGAATTGGAAAGTAAATTATCTACTATGACAAAAATACCCTTTCATTGATTTTTTGTAACTTACTAGTATTATTTTTAATAATGATAAAAATTTCATTTATCAAACACTTACCCACTCAAACCTATGTGCTATTGGTGGCATGGGTGTAAGCATGTGTATGTGCACAGTGGGGACGGGTGGGAGTCGAAATCAACATCGTTGGCATAGACTTGTTGGCGTAGTCATGTCGGCATGGATGTGGGTATGGGATAGGGTAGTATGGGGTAACATGGGTTTGTGTGGAGGTGTGGGTGTTAGGGTGAGTTGGATAGGTGGGACGGGCAGGGGTGCTTGTGTGTAGGGGTGAGGGGTGGGGTCGGGGGACATAAGGGTGAGATAGGATAGGAATGGGTGTGTATTGGTGAATGTGGGGTAGTTGGGTATAGGTATATGGTGGGATGGGGTGGGTATGGGGATGAATGTGTGTGTATGTGCATATGGGTGGGGTGAGACGAGGGTGGGTAAGGTGGGGTGGGATGGGGATATGTGGGGTGTAGGTGTTAGGATGGGGTGGGTATGGGGGTAGGGAGGGGTGAGCACGAGGGTGGTTGTATAGGCCAGGGCTCGTGAGTGTGGGGGTGGGTGTATGGATAGAGAGTTTGAGTGTTGGAGAGATGATGATAATATATTTTAGAGTAAATTACACGAATGGTCCCTATGGTTTGGGGTAATTTGCATGTTTGGTCCCTAACTTATTTTTCTAGCTCGAAAAGTCTATTGTTTATTTTTGTTACGTCATTGGTACCTACTGTTTGTTTTTGTTACACCATTGGTCTTTATCTTATCTAAAAAACTATTATTTAAATACGGAAAAATGGTGGGGTAGGTAAGGTAAGGTGAGGGGATGAGATTGGTGGTGTGTTTATTTAAATAAGTTAAAAAATGAAGGGCAAAATAGTTTTTTTAGGTAAGATAGGGACCAAACGCGTAACAAAAACAAACAGTAGGAACCTTCTGAGTTAAAAAAATAAGTTAAGAACCAAACATGCAAATTACCTTAAACCATAGGGACCATTCGTGTAATTTACTCTATATTTTAAGAATGACTAAAATAAAGTGTTGGTAAGAGGGTATTTTTGTCTTTATAATAAAACCAAAGGAATATAATTTAGAATTGTCTTCACCAAACAATTACCAATTCTTTTGAACATATAATTTAAAGAAATCAAATTTCTTTGATTTTGTCATCCATCCGTAATTTTTACTATAATTTACATTTCAATTCCTTCAAACTCCTTTGAAATCCATGAACCAAACTACCCATTAAATTCGTAGTGATTGTGTTTGTTTTCCTACATTGGTATTGGATTCGCGTTTGGATTTAGCAATCTTCGTTTTGATTTATTAAAAAACATGTTAATTGCATTGTTTGAGCAGGCCACTTAGATTTAACAAGAAGCAACACTAGGCGTTTATTGTGTTTAGGCAAATAGAAGCATATCGAGATGCACATATCTTTTGTGGGAACAGTGTGGGAGATACACCCACAAAAGTTTTACATGCCAAGCTACAAATTTACTAATTTTACTAGAAAATTTAAGAAGAAAATAGTGACAGACACATACACATAAAGCTAGTATGTGCTATGTTATGAACTAGAAGGGATTGAATTTCTCAACATATTTATATTGTTCTAAAACTATGTTTTTAGGCACACAAGTCTTTCCATATTGTAATTTTAAAGGATGTTTTCATTGTTTTGTATATTAGATTTATAATCAAATAGTTTACAAGTCATTGTGAAATTTTGGAACACAACTCTGATTGCGCCCAAAAATGTTTGATTGGTCAACATAATGAAAATCTTGAGAAGAGTTCATAACTAAAAAGATTACAACTACATATCTTCAGGCATTAAATCTCATCTTGATTGGCGTTTTGGACGATATTTTCTCCCACTGGTCAACTCTGATTGACCCGGTTTTGTTGGTGGTGTAACCGGTGGTGAAATCAACCGGTTGAATGATGATGGTAGTGTTATAAAATGCCACTCTTCATCAACATCACTGATCCAACCATGACCAGGTTTTCACCTCCGGGGTTGAGCATTTTCAGGTGGTGGTGGTGGTGGTGGAAGGATGGCATCCATGGCAGGTGGCACTGGCAGCAGTGTTAGAACCGTTTCTACAACAGATGGCGGTGGTGTTAGAGAGGCAACCAGACATCCCTTGATGTGTCATCATATTCCTGGTGTGCCACAAGTGTTCTTGATTATTTTGTGGGGAAAAAAAACTGTAGTATTTTTTATGACAATAGTGAAGCCATTTACTTATGAACCTTTTAATTTTCTTGTTGGGATTGAGCTGCACATATGACAAAACAGCATGCATAATTACCTTTATTACGATACTGATTACTAATATTATCACTTTAGTTGAGCTAAAAAAAATAGTTCCCGACACAGACCACTATTCTAATATTAAATAATTACAACAACGTTGTTTTAACTTTACTTTAAAAAAGCAGAGCAATTAGCAATAGGTCTTTTAACTACTCTTTGAAAAAACTGACGAATTAAAATCCAAATCACAAATGTACTGCAATGATTGATCGATTAGATACACGTCTCGATTCTGGAATCTTGGTTTTATTTGTTTGAATAATATACAATAAAAGATGTAGTATCGCATTTGAATGACTTTTTTATATTAATTATTCCTATAAATAGTAAAATAGATGTGTTGATTTGTAGTTTTCCTATATAAATAAAATCTTGGGTTTAATTTAAGCACATTATTTCTCCATCTCCAAATCTCATCACTAACAATTAGTTATGTGCTGCTCATTCTTCCCAAAAGTAGCGGTCTTAGTTCTTACGCTTCTCATAGTTCAAATGAATGGAGCTGTCTCTGAAGATAGTCATGCATTGTTGGCATTCAAATCCACGATTACACATGACCCTCAAGCTATCATGACATCTTGGAATGATTCTCTTCCTTTTTGCCTTTGGGCAGGAGTGACATGTGGTCGTCGCCACCAAAGAGTCACAAGCTTGGATCTACCAAACATGGGCTTAGTGGGTACTTTATCACCTTATCTTGGCAACCTAAGCTTCCTCATGTACATTAGCCTTGAAAACAATCATATTCATGGAAGTATCCCTCCTGAAATAGGTAACTTGTTTCGATTACGACTACTCTCCCTTCGTAATAACTCCTTCACAAAAGGAATCCCAGCCAACATAACAAGTTGCTCAAAACTATCGTATTTTGACTTATCTTACAATATGTTGTCTGGAAAAATTCTAAATACTTTCACTTCTCTGCGGATGATCAAAACGTTAAGGTTGAGTAAAAATAACCTAACGGGTGGAATTCCACCATCCATTGGTAATCTCACATCTCTTGAAGAACTCATTCTTTCTTATTGTCCATTGGGAGGGAGCATTCCAGATTCCTTCAGTCGGTTGAAAAACTTGCAAAGATTAAGCTTGGGAGAAAATGGCCTCGTTGGATCCTTTCCATCGTTTATCTATAACCTTTCCAAGTTACAACTTTTAAATTTTCCAGAAAATCAACTTGTTGGCTCTCTACCCTCCAACTTATGCCAGGGTCAACCCCATCTCCAAAGACTAGAATTATCCTACAATCACTTCAGTGGATTCCTTCCGTCCTCGATATCAAACTGCTCAGAGTTGCAAATCTTTGATGCTTCTAGTAATGATTTCACAGGAGACATAGCTACTGATTTCGGAAAACTCAGACATCTTAAGTGGTTATCTTTTGGTAGAACCGCGGATCTTGGTGTCATGAAAAAGTTTGATTCACTGTCTAATTGCAGCAATTTGGAAGTATTACAAATTGAAGGTGTCCGATTAACTAGGGGGTTACCAAATTCGTTTGGGAACTTAAGCAAACTGACAATCCTAACACTTCAAAATAGCTACATATCAGGCAGCGTGCCTTCATCTATAGGCAATTTGTTTAGCTTAACTGTCCTTTCTTTAGCGGGAAATAACTTCACAGGCATGATTCCCGAAAGCATTGGCAAGCTTCAAAAGTTAGGAGTGCTGCATCTAGAGGTTAACAGTTTCTCTGGGATCGTTCCTAGATCTATCGGAAACCTGTCATCCTTAAATCAAATGGAATTAAGTAGAAACAAATTGGAAGGTCGTATACCCTCGAGTATCGGGGAATGTAAGAACTTGATACTTCTATCACTTGCTGCAAATAACCTTAGAGGAAGTATACCCAAACGACTATTCCAATTGTCTTCACTGTCGATCATACTAGATCTGAGTCAAAACAACCTCTCTGGAGTGCTTCCGGAAGAGATTGGTGGCCTGAAAAACTTAGGAACGCTCGATTTGTCCCAGAATCATCTATACGGTGAACTTCCTAGTAGTCTAAGCAGCTGCATCAGCCTTCAATTCTTAAATTTTTCCAGCAATTTCTTACAAGGATCGATGCCGGAAGCATTGAGTTCTTTGAAAGCCCTCGAATATGTTAACCTATCAAGAAATAACTTTTCTGGTCATATTCCTAGCTATCTGCAACAAATTCCTTTGAAGGATCTAGATCTTTCATATAATGATTTTGAGGGAGATGTATATGTTAAAGGTGTGTTTGCCAACACAAATGCAATATCAATCAAAGGGAATCATAGACTTTGTGGGGGAATACCTGAACTTCACCTACCCAAATGCACAAGTAACGACTCCAAAAAAGGCAGAAAGCTTTCTCTTGGTGTTGTTGTAGCGATTTCACTATCTTCCGCTGTTGCAGGTATATCTCTAATGTCATTTGTTTACTGTTGTATAAAGAAGAAGAAGAAAGAAAAATCATCAGAACCAATGTTGACTGAATCTTTTGAGAAGATTTCTTATGAAACGCTTTTCAAGGCGACTGAAGGGTTCTCTTCACAAAACCTGATTGGTACAGGTAGCTTTGCTTCGGTTTACAAAGGACTTGTCGACGAAAATGGGTCGACTGTGGCGATAAAAGTCCTAGATCTCCAAAGACGAGGAGCTTCCAAGAGTTTTATAGCCGAGTGTGAGGCCTTGAGACATATTCGTCATCGCAACTTAGTGAAGGTCATAACTTGTTGCTCAAGCCTCGATTTCCAAGGCAATGATTTCAAAGCTTTAGTGTACGATTTCATGCCAAATGGGAGTCTAGAGATTTGGTTACATTCACACACGACGCCTAATGAATATGATCAGTCTCGTCAACTAGATCTTGTTCAAAGAATAAGCATTGCCTATGACGTGGCTTGTGCTCTTGATTATCTACACTACCGTTGTGGAAACGTTGTTGTTCATTGTGATTTGAAACCAAGTAACATTTTATTGGATGCTGATATGTTTGCTCATGTCGGAGACTTCGGGCTTACAAAAATTATTTCCCTTGAAGAACATTCTAATGAAAACAAGAGTAGCTCAAGTGTTATCAGAGGAACAATCGGGTATGCGCCTCCAGGTAAATTTACAACTGTTTTTTCTTATTTTAATCCTTATTTCACATTTTTCACAAATAACTCCGCCTAATTTTGCAGAATATGGTCTTGGGAATGAGGTCTCCACCAGTGGGGACATGTATAGCTATGGGATCCTATTGTTAGAGATGTTGACCGGAAAAAAACCTGTTGACCCAATGTTTCAAGATGGCCTAAGCCTGCATTTGTATGCTAGGAAGGCCTTGGCTGATGGTTTTGTGCTTCAGATTGTGGATCCAATGCTACTAAATGATGAAGTCAAAGAAACGTGTTTGATTTCATTAGTGAAAATCGGTGTGCAATGTTCTTCTGAATCTCCACAAGATCGAATGAATATTGGGAACGTTATTCACGAGCTCATCTCGTTGAAGGTTGCAGCTCGTTCTTGACCCATTCAGTCTTTGGTGCCCCTTAAAAGCTAGTGGGTGATTGTGTTATATTCTAAAGAATTGAATTTGTCAAACACATTAGTATTGTTGTAAATCTATGTTTGTAGATGTACAAGTATTAGATAGTATTGGTTATTAGAATAGTTTCCATATTTATGTTTGACATAGTTTCCATATATCAAGTCTTGAGTGTGAGCATATGATTATTATTGTAGTGTTAGCATATGATTACTATTGTACTCTGTAGACACTCTTTCCTACAAAAATGACTTTTTCTGTATATACACTATACATCCTAGTGCCTGAATATCAAATCTTATGCTAATGTACATGTAGGAGAGTATCAAACAAAGAAGAATAACTAAAATGGCCAAAAAGCTCTTTTCGCAAGATACCCTGCAAAATGACCATAAAAACAAACAATGCATGCAAAAATACACAAACAAGTATAACGCTTCAAGCTGCCCAGAGAGTGTTACATCCCAAACTACATATTACTAATTTCACTAGAAAATTTTAGAAACAACAGCGACACACACATACACTGAATCTCTCAACATGTTTATATCGTTCTAAAGGTACACAACTCTTTCCATTTTGTAATTTTAACGGATGCAATAGATTTAATAATCAAATAGTTTATAAGTCTGTTAAATTTTGGAACACAATTCCAATTGCATCCAGAAACGTTTAATTAGTTAACATAATCTAAATGTTGAGATTAGTTCAGAAGTAAAGAGATTACAACTACATATCTTCAGGCATTAAATCCCATCTTGATTGGCGTTTTGGACGATATTTTCTCCCATTGGTCAACTCTGATTGACCTGGTTGTGTTGGTGGTGTAACTGGTGGTGAAATTGACCGGTTGAATGATGATGGTAGTGTTATAAAATGCCACTCCTCATCAACATCACTGATCCAACCATGACATGGTTTTCGCCTCCAGGGTTGACCATTTTCAGGTGGTGGTGGAATGAGAGCAGCCATGGCAGGTGGCATTGGTGGCAGTTTTAGAACCGTTTCTACAACTGGTGGCAGAGGTGGTGGTGGAGGAAGGATGGCATCCATGACAGGTGGCACTGGCGGCAGTGTTAGAACCGTTTCTACAACAGGTGGCAGTGGTGTTAGAGAGGCAACCAGAGGTTGCAGTGATGGTGGTGGAAGGACGGTAAGAGGGGTGGAAGGGCAGATCGGAATGTCAATGAAGCCAGACTTTTCAGTTTCAATGATCTCATTCTGCATTAAGACACTAGAAGGTAAACAAATTGGGAAAAACTAAATCAAATGTAAGAAATTCCATTACCGGATTTGATGTTTCTCCTTGTTCTTGATTTTGCTTATCTTGATCGGCAAGAAGGGCTTCCAAAAGCACGCAGTACGCATCAAGTTCAATAAACCCATACCCATCTTGCCCCCCATATTCCTAAATCAACATGTAGTTATGTAACATTCAAATCATAATAACAACTAATAAATAAATAAATAAAAACTGGTTTTTGCACCAAGAACAGTCTACAGGGAGCACTTGCTACAAACCAAATTCGATCAAGAAAGGGGATTGATTGCATAAACCTATAAACCCTAATTGAAAACATGGAAGACACTGAAAAACCCCATCAAAAGTATTAGCAAAATGAAAAGATGTCAGATTTGAGGAGAGTACCTTCAGGAGCTGACGCATCTTGGCGATGACGACTTCTTTGGTGAATCCAAATGGCGCCATTGCATCAATGGCTGCATCCATTCGAGACGTACGAGACTGAAAGATGGTTTCACGAAACAGAAATGGGTTATCATTAGTCGATTAATCTATCAGAAAAATCCGAGGATGATCATCAAGAAAGTAAGAGAATGAGACCTTGTTGGGTCTCCCCCTTGGTGCCATTTTGTTTCACCCCTGAAGAAACTCTGTTTGATTCTGTATGTTGATGTTACTGGTCTCTAGCAGAGAGAGCTTGAAATGGTAAAGAGATGAAGACAGAATGCAGTGGTGAACACAGTAACCAAAAACAAGAAACAGAGATGCATGCGCATCGAGGTGCGCATAGAGAGGGCTTGTTTTAGACGATGTACGGAAAGAGCAGGAGGAATCGTTTTTTTTTTTAGGGAAGAACTTACCCAAACGGGTTATGTACAGATACGCCGTTGATCTCAACCTTTTCCGTACATCTGTTTCGTTTGTCGATGGAACTTTTTATCAATTTTCGAGTTTCAAATAGATTTTGAAGGAGTTTATGGATGGAACTTTTTATTGATTTCCGAGTTACAAATAGATTTTGACTGAGAAAAATAATAATTGATTTAAAAACAAGTACATAGTAAAATTTACTATTGGTGCTTAGGCCTAAGAGGGACGGCATTATTAGGAGACCCGCCACTGATCGCCAAACACCGCCGCCGGCATGTGCCAAGGGGCGTGCCAGCCTAGTCTCGCCAGCGAAGTAACCAAAAGAAAGAGAAAGGGTTTATGTGGTTGATTGTTGTTCTTATTGAATCTTTTGCAAAGTTGAATGCGATTTTGATTATTGTTTCTTCTTTTTGCTTGTCTTCAAACACCCTTCATGTTCTTCTACGCTTCTCTTTTATTTGATATTTTTTCAGGTACCATTTTCCTTTTTTCTCACACACTGACACACACACAAAACATATGTTTCTTTATGTAAAAATCATAAACCCCATTTCGTTTTTTCTTATATTGTTTTTGGGGTGGGAAATTGAGGCTTATTTCACACAATAGGTTGTGATTTTGTTGTAAATTTGAGCAATTATCAGGGATGAGCATAGGTGGGTACCCGCCTCATTTGGCGAGAACCGGAACCGGAACCGGAACCGACGGTTCCTAAAAAGTTAGAACCGAAACCGGAACCGTTCTAGGCGTTTCTTAAATTTTTGGAACCAATCCCGGAACCGGCGGTTCCGGTTCCGGGAACGGGTAACCCGGTTACATTAACTTTGTTAACTTTTGTCGATAAAATCGCAACTTAGTTTGATCCAAATCATATCAATTCGGATCAAAGAGGGACATAATCGGACCAATATATTGTAAATCGGTCTAAGTAACACACACACACACACACACACACACACACACATATATATATATATGTATATATATATATATATATATATATATATATATATATATATATAAGACGGTTTCGGCAGGTACCCAGCGGGTAGCGGTTTCGAAAAAATGAGAATTGGAACCGGAACCGCCTAAGGCGGTTCCATAACTTTAGGAACCAGAACCGCTTAAGGCAATTCTTGTTCCAGAACCGCCTCGAGGCGGTTTCGGTTCCAAAAGTGAGTACCCGGTTGCGATGCTCATCCCTAACAATCATCACTTATAAATAGCGAATTTTAGAACAATTCACACTACTTTTGTATAATTTCTCCAAGTTTCCCCCTTTCCCCCATCTAAATGACTGTGAATAAATTTTTAAATCTCTCATGAATCTTAATCCTGACTTGACATGTCAGGATTAAGACTCATAAGAGATTTAAAATTTAGAGTGTGTTTGGTTTGTCATTTGAAACTGGAACTTATTATTACAACTTTAATGATTTAAACCCAAGAATAGATAGTTAACCACACACTTATCTTAATGATGAAGCTTAGGAAAGTAAATGTTATCAATCTGTTAATTTTTGGCTGATATTGATACTTTTGACTTCAATTTACATGACAATAGTGTTTCACAATGCAACGTTATTCACATGGTTTTGATTTTGATAAGCTTGAAATTCTTTAGTCATTTGTTGTGTATTTACTTGTCATGAGTAAAATGCATTGAAAACTTACAAACTTTGTTTTGTTTTGTGACAGGTCCTAGATAACATCAATGAGATTCTCAAAAGTAGTTGTAACTTTTTTATTTAATATGAAAATTTACCCAATCAATGAGATTCTCAAAAGTGATATAATTTATGTAAGTATGAAAAAAAAAATTAAAAATCAGATATGCTAGGGGTGCTACAACTCCTTATGAAATGCTAAGAAAAAGATGTTAGTGAGGTGACAACAAAAAAAATGATATGGCAACATAAAAATGATGTAGTCGTGTGTTAACACCCCGTTCCCGAGTTGTAGCAGAGAAAATAAGAGAAGAGAAAAGAAAGTAAGGAGAGAAAAGAAGAGAAGAGAAAGGAAAAGAAATTTGTGTTTTGTGTTCCCGAGTTGGAGAGAAATGGAAGGAAAATGAAACATTTTGTTCTTTCTCTCCAAATCCTTCCAAATCGGAAGGAAAGTTAGGAGGGAAAGTGATCCCTCCATTTCCTTCCACTTCCCTCCTTTAATGAAACTCGGGAACACCAATTTCTCTTACTTTCCTCCCACTTCCACCCATTTCCTTTCTTTTCTCTCTTTAAATTGAACTCGGGAACGGGGTGTAAGGGTGTTACCACTCCCTTCGGCCTTATTATTTACTTTAATCGTTTATTAAAAATACAATGAAACTAAAATAATTTATGGCATGCTTAGTTCACATCTAGATAATATTTGTTTTTTGTACTCATTTACCCAACCAACTTGTTTCATACGTTCAAAAACACCCATTATTACTAGTAATGATACATCATTATTACAATATTACAATTTCATTCCACTTAACCAAAACAACATTTTCATTCACTAATAATACATCATTATCTATATAAGGCAAAATGATCCCTAATTCAAAACAACAATTTCATATACAAGAAAAACAACACAACCAACACAACTTTATGGCTAAACAACTTCCAATTTACTTTCTCCAGCTCTTGTCTGTTAACCAAATTGGTGTTCTTCTCTTCTTCGATCTTCAATCTGTATATTCTAATTTCATTCTCTAAGGTACAAAGTTTCCACCAAAGATTACAGTCTTCTTCTGATTTCATCCTCTTATGGTTTCTTCCACATATCCTCCCTTCATCCTCATCCACTCATTGCCAAAATTTACATCTTGGAAATTTTCAATTCTTTGAGAAATTTAGATTAAAAAAAAAGGTTAAATCGAAGGATGAAGAAGCACAAGTTAACAAAAATTCAAAAAAAAAAAAATTGATTTACCAGAGAGTTTTGACAAACTCTAAATGGTTTTCCAGGATTGTCGGGGGTCCTTAAAGTCTTCACGCGAGATGGTCACTTACAATCAAATGGATGATCAGTTTGTAACACATCTTGTCATTTGGAAGAAAAATATGAGGAAGAAGAAGCTATCGATCGATCTAGGGTTCTTTTAGATCGTATCCTAGACCATTTATATTGTAAATGATGAAAAATACGTACAATGTCACCTAGGTGATAGGTATTTCAATATATAGGCCACATAGATGCCACATCATCAAAAACATGTGTTTGCCGGTAATAATGAGTATTTGTGAACTTATGAAACAAGTTAGTTGTGTAAATAAGTACAAAAAAAACAAATATTACCTAGATGTGAACATACCAAATAGTTAATTACCTTAATTAGTCATTTTCCCAAATATCTTATAAATTTTGTCATTTGAAATTTTGAATGCATTTGAAAAGACTGTTTTGCCCTCCTGTTTTTCTTTTCCATTTTCTTTTATTTCCTTTATCATTTATTATATTAAAAAAAAGATAATATAACCACCCTTTAATAACTCCCCCTACTCTTTAACCCTAGTCTAACTCTTTTCAAGTGTTGTAGGGACACTACTACCAACCACCATTAGCCACTTCCCGATCACATCTTACCATATCTATTATTGTCTAGATCTACCACCATTTACCTCCATTCACATTCATCAAGATCTATCATTGTCCACATCCTCTGATAAACAGATCTATAAAAATTGGTTCCTTCGACGAGCAGATATCCACCTCCGGAAAACTCTCTCTCTATCTATCTCTCTCCAACAATATGAGTAAAGTGAAAACACATCCACCGTCAACGCTAGGGTTCGCCTTGAGCAGATGTAAGTGGTTGGAAGGTTTGTCGATCGACGAACTCGAATAGTGAGGGAGAGGGAAGTTCAGATTGGCGCTTTGGTGGAGGTTCAGATCCTTATGGTTAGGGTTTTCCTAGATCTAGAATGTCATCGACAATAGACCGTCGTATGACGATGTAGGTGGCGTCGGAGGTATATCGTTATAGGGGCGACGACAGTATTTCTAGAAACCAAAAATGAAGTGGGGTTGAAGAGGATTCTGACATCCCCATTTTTTCACGGCCAGAAAAGACCGATTTGTTTATGCTTGTTTTAAAATCAAAGTAATCGTTTACAGAAAACAGTTGCGGAATTTGTCCCAAAACAAAATATGATAAGAATTTATCAAAGCATTTCTTTAAAGAAAATGTATTTTCATTATATAACAAAATCTTGGGATGTCATGTTCTGATACAGACCAAAAGCATAAAACAATATAAAATAGACCTTACAACAGTTATTTATAACTACTGATCTATAATCCAAAATCTATCGTCAAGTCTACCAACTTATACCCTTGTGCCATTACCTGTAATGCAAAGAAAACTGAGTGGGTCAGACTTGGGAGCCTGGTGAGCATATAGGGTTTTCAACCCACAATAATATAATTATTATATTTAATCATCAAACAATCAACCCAATTACCCATCCTCATTATCTTCGTTTAATCTTCCTTAAAGATATTATCTTAAGGGTCATCTCGTATACCATATTTACCTCTCTTCTCTTTACATCTTATTTCCTTATATTTTTGTTCCTAAGAACTTTTCCTAAGGATCATCACCTACATCGCATAGACAATACTAATTCGGGGATCACACCCTCAATATGTGTATAGTAAGGGTTAAGGTATCATCGCATGATTACGCAGCCACAACATCGCCTGGACTCGTAAATCATAATAAGGGTCAGACTATCATCGCATGAATACGCAGCCACAACATCGCCTTGACTCGTAATTCATAATAAGGGTTAGACTATCATCACATGAATACGCAGCCACAACATCGCCTGGACTCGTAATTCATAATAAGGGTTAGACTATCATCGCATGAATACGCAGCCACAACATCGTCTGGACTCATAATTCATTACCTATCTATCATCACTTAATTATCATCACCATTATATCCTCACCTATCTCTTATCACATTATTTCATCACAAACTAACTATTTCATCTACCCATGTTCTACCCAACATATTTGTAGATATAAATTACATATATAGTTTAAATCATATACAAACCTGTATAAAACATTCATCCAACATCCATCTCAAATAAACAAACAATATATAAACACATAACACGTATTTCATAGCAAATACTTAATATCTATGTGTTAGAAGAAAGTAACTACACACTCACACCAAACATATACTTAATACATTCAAACAATACTTGTATTAAAATCATGTTTATGAAAGGGACTATACACTCACTTGATCAGAAGATGATCAGACAACACTACGGCTTGTAAAAGTAGTATTCTTACATAGATCTGGAAGATCTTCACACACCGGGCTTCTCGCAGGAAGAGCTTCGGCTCAGAAACTCTTTTCTTCTAAGGATTTTCAGGCTTCGGGACCTGCTTCGGGTATCGGGATGATAACGGGTTTCGGGGGGTTAAAATAGGGCTTAGAGAGAGTATCGGGAGTGAGAGAAAATAGATTGAGCAACCAAACTTGGCTGCCCCTTGAATTCTATTTATATGATGAATTTTCTGGGTTCACCTCGTGAGTTTCTAATGTTCAACTCGTGAGTTAGGC